GACGGAAATGTTACGCCCCTCACCATACTGTGATGCCGTGTCCCGGCCAGAGCGACGAGACAAAAACATTAAAACCCATTATAAACGAGGCATTTGTTGCATCCAGTGGGGACATAATTACGGATTATAATGACTTACACTGTCTTTTTACGTGTTGCATCGCGCCGCGTAAACATAAAACCAGAAATCTAAATCTAGTCGTGTCCTCTTTTGGAAGACCAAACAAAGTAGTTTTGCTTTCACAACGAAACACAGCGTCTTCACGACATGGCGACAGCGTCAACAATACTACAGCGAGAATAAAAGTTACGCCTTCTTTCTTTGCGTGAACATTTGGGCGGCGTTATGCAAATCTTCCCACATAGTGACGTAGACATGTGGGGGCGTGTTAGAACAAGGCGTTTTAGGTAGGTGTGGCTGACTCTTAACTTTTATAAAGAATATCTCTTTGGATTTGAGACTTTAGTCTTTGCAACTTTACAGATCCTCTTTATGCACCAAGAGCTTGTAACACTCCAAAGAGAAAGGAACAATTGAAATCGCATCATATGACCCCTTTAAAATAAAAACAATGTGTTACAGACACAACTATATTTGTATGTATATGTAATGCATGGTTTATCAGACAGCTAGATTCATAAAGTGACTAGTAGACTAGTCCTGAAGTACCGTGCGAATCGGACCGCATTTCTGTAGGATGAGGTGTAAAGACGCTCTCTCCTCGAACCGTAGCGTGAGTCAGACTCCGGCTCTCAAACGTCACTCGCTGAGAACCAGCAGGAGCCTCTAATAGAGTCAATCAGAAAAATACATTTATTCCACCGCTATCCTGAGTGCTGGAGGTATCAGGCTGAAGGTAAAAATAAGAGAAATGTCACCCCTTGTGGTCAGAAGTGGAATAACAAAAACATTCACCTTTTTTATATTCCAAGCTCTTGGGAACAGACTCCTACATGACAGACAATTAATAAAACATTAATTGTGTGAAAATATAACTAATTATATAATTTACTGATAATGTAATATAGCATAATAAATACAACAATATTAATATGCAGGGGTGCACATAAGTTTTTTTTAGTCTGGTTCTCATGAGAGCACCTGGAGATTTGGATTGGTGCTAAAAAAAAAAAAATAATAATAAAAAATAAAATAATTATTAATAGTAACAATAATTCATAAATATTGCACTTTATTTGATTTTTTTAAATAAAATAATAAATAAAGTGCAATAATACTATTATATTTTAAAATAATAAGTGAGAAAAATACATGTTTTATAGTACGCTTAAAAATACAATGCTAATAAAAATAAATAAATTAAAAAAAAATTTCTTATATGAATTTTCAAACCTAAAATCAGAAAGCTTTTTGAATGAGTTTATATAATGACTGAATAGACGTGCCGACGCACCTTGTTTTGTTTTGGCGACCTTTCGCACTCAGGTCCATTGATCAAATGTATGATATCTGATTCGGAAGGATTTTCTAAATACGAAAAAGAAAAACAATTACAGACAGATAATCTGTACACAAACATTAAAGTATACTATTTGTCATGTATTATTAAATATGGTACGGAAGTGTTATGCAGTTATCTGTGTGGCTGGGTGATATATTTAATATTAGCCATGTATGCAGTATTTAGTGTCTGAGTCAGAGAGAGTGTTTTACCCTGGAACAGACGAGGGCTGCGCTCGTTCTCAAAGCGGACGGAGAGAGTTTCAGCTCTCTTTCTAGAAACATCATTAAGCGCAGCTTCCTCGTTCTCCTCGAGAAGCGAGAGCGTCTTCATCATCTTCTGCATGGCTTTGATTCGGAGCTCACTACTTCTGCAAAACAGTGACGATAATCAATGACCTGAAAACCATTCAATTTAGTATTATTTATTTATATACCATTATATTATTTAACAATAAAATAAATAAGCTTTTATTTTTATATGCTCAGGTTCCGTTTATTTTAGGAAAATTCCATTTTAATTCTTTTCATTTTTTTTATCAATCAATCAATCAGTCAATCAAATTGTATTTATAAAGCACTTTTCCAAACAAATCAATGCAGTTCAAAGTGCTTTACAGAAGAGCTAACGACAAACTAACAAATAAAAATAGAACTACTAATAGATTATAACATTTAAAAAGTTACAAATATAAAATTATAAAAACCATATGAGACATTACAGGAAAGCCAGACTAAAAGGAGTGTTTTTAATTAGATTTAAATTTTCAATATTTACATTTACATTGAGTCATTTAGCAGATGCTTTTATCCAAAGCGACTTACAAATGAGGACAATAGAAGCAATCAAAACTAACAAAAGAGCAACAATATATAAGTGCAAATGACAAGTCTCGGTTAGCCTAACTCAGTAGCAAGGTGTGTATATATAGCGAGAGCGAGAGAGAGAGAGAGAGAGCGAGAGAGAGAGTAGACGGATGACGCACCAAGCTTGCGGAGTTTGGTCATTGCGTGGACCAGGTACAAACGGTAGAGCGGGTGTTTCCTGACCACAGGATTGAGCCTCAAGTCCAGTTCCTTCAGATTCTGCAGCTTGTGCAGGGAAAAGATGTCCTGCAGAGACGCCAGCCTGTTGTAGTACAGATTCAGTCTCTCCAGCATTTCCAAATGCTCAATCCCCTACAAACAGCAGCATGACAGATACACAACAGTGTAAACGTACAGATGTGCAGTCAATTATATATATTCTTTCATTTCTATACTCACATTTGAGTACACATTCTATGATATGCACTGTCCGAGTCCTGTTAATAAATTAATATATAAGAAACTTATTATAAAATATAACCTACGGCAAAAGCAAATAAGTAACTGATTCTGTAAACTATGCTAATAAATTAATAAATAAGACACTTATTATAAAATATAACCTACGGCAAAAGCAAATAAGTAACTGATTCTGTAAACTATGCTAATAAATTAATAAATAAGACACTTATTATAAAATATAACCTACGGCAAAAGCAAATAAGTAACTGATTCTGTAAACTATGCTAATAAATTAATAAATAAGACACTTATTATAAAATATAACCTACGGCAAAAGCAAATAAGTAACTGATTCTGTAAACTATGCTAATAAATTAATAAATAAGACACTTATTATAAAATATAACCTACGGCAAAAGCAAATAAGTAACTGATTCTGTAAACTATGCTAATAAATTAATAAATAAGACACTTATTATAAAATATAACCTACGGCAAAAGCAAATAAGTAACTGATTCTGTAAACTATGCTAATAAATTAATAAATAAGACACTTATTATAAAATATAACCTACGGCAAAAGCAAATAAGTAACTGATTCTGTAAACTATGCTAATAAATTAATAAATAAGACACTTATTATAAAATATAACCTACGGCAAAAGCAAATAAGTAACTGATTCTGTAAACTATGCTAATAAATTAATAAATAAGACACTTATTATAAAATATAACCTACGGCAAAAGCAAATAAGTAACTGATTCTGTAAACTATGCTAATAAATTAATAAATAAGACACTTATTATAAAATATAACCTACGGCAAAAGCAAATAAGTAACTGATTCTGTAAACTATGCTAATAAATTAATAAATAAGACACTTATTATAAAATATAACCTACGGCAAAAGCAAATAAGTAACTGATTCTGTAAACTATGCTAATAAATTAATAAATAAGACACTTATTATAAAATATAACCTACGGCAAAAGCAAATAAGTAACTGATTCTGTAAACTATGCTAATAAATTAATAAATAAGACACTTATTATAAAATATAACCTACGGCAAAAGCAAATAAGTAACTGATTCTGTAAACTATGCTAATAAATTAATAAATAAGACACTTATTATAAAATATAACCTACGGCAAAAGCAAATAAGTAACTGATTCTGTAAACTATGCTAATAAATTAATAAATAAGACACTTATTATAAAATATAACCTACGGCAAAAGCAAATAAGTAACTGATTCTGTAAACTATGCTAATAAATTAATAAATAAGACACTTATTATAAAATATAACCTACGGCAAAAGCAAATAAGTAACTGATTCTGTAAACTATGCTAATAAATTAATAAATAAGACACTTATTATAAAATATAACCTACGGCAAAAGCAAATAAGTAACTGATTCTGTAAACTATGCTAATAAATTAATAAATAAGACACTTATTATAAAATATAACCTACGGCAAAAGCAAATAAGTAACTGATTCTGTAAACTATGCTAATAAATTAATAAATAAGACACTTATTATAAAATATAACCTACGGCAAAAGCAAATAAGTAACTGATTCTGTAAACTATGCTAATAAATTAATAAATAAGACACTTATTATAAAATATAACCTACGGCAAAAGCAAATAAGTAACTGATTCTGTAAACTATGCTAATAAATTAATAAATAAGACACTTATTATAAAATATAACCTACGGCAAAAGCAAATAAGTAACTGATTCTGTAAACTATGCTAATAAATTAATAAATAAGACACTTATTATAAAATATAACCTACGGCAAAAGCAAATAAGTAACTGATTCTGTAAACTATGCTAATAAATTAATAAATAAGACACTTATTATAAAATATAACCTACGGCAAAAGCAAATAAGTAACTGATTCTGTAAACTATGCTAATAAATTAATAAATAAGACACTTATTATAAAATATAACCTACGGCAAAAGCAAATAAGTAACTGATTCTGTAAACTATGCTAATAAATTAATAAATAAGACACTTATTATAAAATATAACCTACGGCAAAAGCAAATAAGTAACTGATTCTGTAAACTATGCTAATAAATTAATAAATAAGACACTTATTATAAAATATAACCTACGGCAAAAGCAAATAAGTAACTGATTCTGTAAACTATGCTAATAAATTAATAAATAAGACACTTATTATAAAATATAACCTACGGCAAAAGCAAATAAGTAACTGATTCTGTAAACTATGCTAATAAATTAATAAATAAGACACTTATTATAAAATATAACCTACGGCAAAAGCAAATAAGTAACTGATTCTGTAAACTATGCTAATAAATTAATAAATAAGACACTTATTATAAAATATAACCTACGGCAAAAGCAAATAAGTAACTGATTCTGTAAACTATGCTAATAAATTAATAAATAAGACACTTATTATAAAATATAACCTACGGCAAAAGCAAATAAGTAACTGATTCTGTAAACTATGCTAATAAATTAATAAATAAGACACTTATTATAAAATATAACCTACGGCAAAAGCAAATAAGTAACTGATTCTGTAAACTATGCTAATAAATTAATAAATAAGACACTTATTATAAAATATAACCTACAGCAAAAACAAATAAATAACTGATTCTGTAAACTATGTAAATATGTATTTTTCACCTGAACTGTGAGCAGCGCATTATGTGAAAGATCCAGTGACTTCAGACGCACAAAGTTCTTTAGCGATGTTCCTAAATGACAGATTTTCCCTTCGTATGTTCCTGGAAGAGTCAACGATCGGACATCCGCTGCGATAAATTATTAAAAATATTAGTTAATCACATTTGCGTTCTCTCGCTCAAAATTTGCGTTCTCTCGCTCAACATTAGCATTTTATCGGTAAAGTATTGCGTTCTCTCGCTCAAAATTTGCGTTCTCGCGCAACATTTGCGTTCTCTCGCTCAACATTTGCATTCTCTCGCTCAACATTTGCGTTCTCTCGCTCAACATTTGCGTTCTCTCGCTCAACATTTGCGTTCTCTCGCTCAACATTTGCGTTCTCTCGCTCAACATTTGCGTTCTCTCGCTCAACATTTGCGTTCTCTCGCTCAACATTTGCGTTCTCTCGCTCAACATTTGCGTTCTCTCGCTCAACATTTGCGTTCTCTCGCTCAACATTTGCGTTCTCTCGCTCAACATTTGCGTTCTCTCGCTCAACATTTGCGTTCTCTCGCTCGACATTTGCATTCTCTCGCTCGACATTTGCGTTGTATCGGTAAAGTATTGCGTTCCCTCAATAAACTCTGCATTCTCTCGTTCGACTTTTGCGTTCTATTGGTTAAAATGTTTGCGTTTCCCAGAGAAACTTTGCTTTCTCTCGCTAAACATTTGTGTTCTAACGCTAAAGCATTGTGTTCCCCCGAGAAATGCAATGGTAATTTAGCAAGAGAACACAATGTTTCTCGTGGGAGCACAACAATTTGGCTAGCGAACACAAAGCTTCTCGGGGGGAACGCAATACTTTAGCGATAAACGATCCTGTAGTGATAAAAAAAATATGGCCATGTCAACTAAGGTTGACAGGGACAATTTTAGCTTCTTAAAACTAAATAATGACTATATATATATATATATATATATATATATAACTATATCATATGTTTTACCTAAACAGCTGTGCTGAAGCTTGAGCTTTTCTCTGATCCACTGCTCTGTTGTGGTCCAACCGTCTACCGCCATTGTTTTGAAACTGGAATTCAGAAAGCGCATGCGCAGAACTAGGATAGGCTTATGAATATTACTTACGTAATGTAACGCAGCCGCGTCTGATTCGCTGAAAACCAGACGTCGGCGAGTCAGTTGGTGAATTAGCCAATCAGACTTTGGTAACGGCTTCGCTCATGAATATTAATTACGTAAGCGTGTTTGAACGTTTGTCTGAGGAAGGTTACCAAGCAACAGCGACGATTAATCTGTCAACACAGGAGGGAAGGACGCTGTCAAACTACGCCAGAAATATATATATTTCATCAAATGACAGCTTGAAGTTATGGAAATATTCCTTAAACCAATCATTAAACAGGTAAAGCGCTCAAATGAGAACGTATGTCAAGAAATGTTTGCGTAACATTACCCTCTGGTGGCAAATCAACGCCACCTCAGGCCACAGATTTATTTTTTTCCCTCAAAACAAATCACATTTAATGACTGCGGTCATAATTAAATAATAATAATTGAATCAGTTTTCAGACTATGATGAATATGAGATCTGTGATGCCCACAAGACAGCAAAATGCTTTCAAAACAACTGAATGGGAGCATGTGTTATATACATATATTATAGAATTGTATTTGTAATAACTGATATGTAAGTTGATTGTCAAAACGGTGTGAAATTTCAAAGAATATAAAACATTTGGCACCCGAGTTATTTCTTGATGTAATACTGGGTTTTTTCCACAAGGGGCGCTTGACAGAATCCTCATTGAGCCGCACTCTGATTGGTCCATTTTGACCAGCGCTGAGAAAAGTAACAAGTAACACGTGACATCGCGATGCTTTAAAATAATAGATAATTTGATCACACTTACATGTATTAATTTAGCAGACGCTTTTATCCAAAGCGACTTAAATGAGAACAGCAGAAGCAATTAAAATCAATAAAATAATAAGTGCAATAAAATGTAAGTGCGGTGGCAAGTCTCAGTTAGCAGTACGCAAGGTTTTTAAAAAATATATATTTTTATATAATAAATAAAAAGACAACAAGTAGATAGATTAAAAAAGAATAGGGAACGCTAGTGTTAGAGGGTCTTTTTTATAATAAAAAAAAAGAAAACAAGTAGTTAGGATAGAAATAGAATAGAGAGTGCAAGTGTTAAAGGGGCTAGTGTTGTTGTTGTTGTTTTATATAAATATATAAAATAATACAAATAGATAAAATAGTTAAAATAGAGAGTGCTAAAGTTAGAGGGTCAAATGAAGATTGAGAATAAAATTTTAAATGTAAATAATACAAATGTAATAATTGAACATACTTAATAGATTATTGTATCGTGATTATACGTGTATCATCATTTTTATTTAACATTTAATTTTAAACGTCGATATGCAAAGTAGATCATTTATACCTTGATAAAGACATATCAAGAGATTTTTAAAAAATTCGTTTCAAACGTAAACTTAAAAAAAAAATTTAAATCGTAGAGTTTTTAAAATAAGCCCCGCCTACTTTTAGATCCTCGCTTGACGTATAGCTTGCCATTCTTCGCGTTTCTGATGCAGAGTCAGCATCAGCATCACACCGAGCACAGGTGCTTCATCTCCAGCACTCCTATCCTCTCTGCTGGATAGGATGAGACGATGGCTCGCAGGAGGGATGAAGATGATGATGATGACGGACACAGGCTGATAGAGGAGGAGGAGGAGGAGGAGGATGCGCGTCCCATCATGGACAGTGAGGATGAGGACGATCTGTCCCTGGACGAGATTTTACATCTGTACAAGCAGCCCATCAACGAGGAGCAGGCGTGGGCTGTGTGTTACCAGTGCTGTCGCTCTTTTCTGGAGGATTCTGCTGGGACCGGAGGAGCGGGACGTGTCAGGATTTATAAAGACGGATCGGTGCGCTTTCATTCCGGAGACAGATCAGGTGACAAATCAACACCTTCCGCATCCATTACACACATCGGCATGTGCATTTCCATACATAGGCCTAATAGGTGTTAACTGTCATGCATTTGGGTGCAAATGTTTTGAAACAGCTTATATATATATATAGTTGCGTTACTTTCCCTAGTGTTCTGCATCACAACATATGCACAGTATTGAATGCATCATCTTATGTGGAAGAATTACATGTGAAATGCTGTGCAATTGTGTCATGGTCCTAATATCTTGTATTTCACATCTTGTGCATTGTATGTTTTTGACAGCACTGATGTGTGATGTAACACGTGAGGCCTTTATTAGCAGGCCAGTACAACCAGTGCACTAAACTGAGTACTGAGTCTAAAATAAACACAAGGCAGCACAGTCACCGTTGTTTGCAGTTGTAGGTGCTCTCTGATGCACAGAGGGATGCACATGCTGATAAACACTGTACAGCTCCTGATCAGGGCCTGTGCTGTACAGAAATTGCATATTCATAAAGCTTTTGTGTGTAAAATGGTATTTCACTACAGATTCAAATGAAATATGTCTGCTATTTCCGCTCGGTGTGTGACTTTATCGACATTATGTACTAACATTACCCAGTAGCCCATGATATTTGGTAGCTTATTTAGGATTAGGGTATTTAGGGTATGTGTAAAATCTATCAAAGTTATGATCGTTAACTAAAGCTATAAAACCACAAAAAAAAAACTTTTTTTGTTAAGTGAAATAAAATAACATAAAAACACTTGAAAATGTATTACGTTTATTTTATTTCAACTAGTTGCCAATTAGTGTTATTCTAGTATTGGAATACTATTATAGTTAATTATATTTTAATTAATTTTAATATATATAATTTTTTTTTTTCTGTTATGATTTTAATTTCAGTTTTTTTGTGTGTGTGTTTTGGTCATATTTGTTAGTTTTTGTTTTTTATTTTGTTTTTATTAATTTTTATTTCAGTTTTAGTTATTTTATTGCATCATGTTAAACTACATTAAAAATGTTGCCTTGTCAGCTAAGCTGAAATAAAATAATTAAGAGTAAAGCAGTAGTGTTTTTTTTAAGTTGAAGTTTATTTTATTTATTAAAAACAAGGGTTTTGTGTGGTTTTAGTTAACTATAGTAACCCTGTTGCCCAGGCATCATTTCTCAATTTCATTTAGTTTTAACTAAAATAAATGTACAAAAAGCAATTAAAACTGAAATAAAAATTAATAAAAACTGTATATACATATTTAAAATCTAAAAAAAATGACAAAATGCACAACAAGATTACTAAAATGTTAACTAAAATAAAAATATAAAAAGAAAAACCAATTTAAAATATTAATAGGAGCTATAATAGTATCTCTATCTCTGTATCTAATAGTAATGATACTAAAATAACACTGGTCTAAAACTGAGCTGCTAGGCACCTGTGTTGGATGGAGAAGTGCTGCTGATAATAATGAAATGCGCTCACTGTGCAGCTTATCCACAGTTTAGAAGATTGAGATATTTATTACAGATGGATTTAACTGCTGGCTTTCCAGAAGATGATTTTATTGCTCAGAGCAATATTTCTCTTTCATTGCTCAGGAGACTAGTTTGCAGTTAAGTGTCATCAGATGTAAGTCAATAGCTGTCGTACAGTAAGAATATATAAAATGAATGTGGAGCAGCACAAATCATTTGATGACAAATGCATGAGTTAGTACTGAGATTTATGACTTTTCATTGCAGACTTTGCAGATCTCTGAGATATTCCCAGAGGAGAGGTGCTCACTTTGCATTTTAATAAACGCCACTGTCATTGCTTTCTCGCATGAGACACGCTGTCAAGATCGATATGTCTTGCAGCTTCCAGGCAGAGTTGTTGCTTTGTCAAAAGTGCGAACATGTTCCTCATTCGCTGTCGACTGCAGAAGAACAGAGGAGAGATCTGTTTCTTTGCTGAATTTGCCTTGTCCTGCTGCAAAAAATAGTCTTGAGATTAAGTGGATTTCAGAATTGTTATGTGTTTTTGGATATTCAATCAAAACCAAGACTGACGTAGTCTGATACACTCAGGTTGTCGGTAAAATGAAAATTTGCTGAAAATGCACTCACTCTCAGGCCATCCGAGATTAGGATGAGTTTGTTTCTTCATCAGATTTGGAGAAATGTGTCATTGCATCAGTGTCTCAGCAATGGATGCTCTGCAGTGAATGGGTGCCGTCAGAATGAGAGTCCAAACAGCTGATAAAAACATCACAATAATCCACAGCACTCCAGTCCATCAGTTAACATCTGGAGAAGACAAAAACTGAAACAAATCCAGCATTCAGATGTTTTTAACTCAAATACGAGTCCATAATCCATAATAACTCTTCCTCCAGTGAAAAAGTGTTCTGGTCTGAATCAGGAGAGAAATCTGCACAGATTAAGCAATGTTTACAGTCAAAACAGCTCGAAACAAATCTGTGGCTGGATTTTGATGTGAGAGGCAACAGGAGACAGACTTTTTCACTGGAGGAAGCGTTATTATGGATTATGGACTTTTATTTAAAAACATCTTAATGATGGATTTGTTTCAGCTTTTGTCTTCTCCAGATGTTAACTGGTGGACTGGAGTGCTGTGGATTACTTGTGGATTATTGTGATGTTTTTATCAGCTGTTTGGACTCTCATTCTGACGGCACCCATTCACTGCAGAGCATCCATTGCTGAACAAGTAATGGAATGCTATTTTTCTCTAAATCTGATGAAGAAACAAACTCATCTACATCTTGTATTGATCTGAGGGTGAGTACATTTTCTTTAAATTTTCATTTGTAGGTAATCTATTCCTTTGATAGTTGTCAGATGCATAAAGATTATCTGCATCCCATTTGCTGCCGTCAGTGTGTTTTATGTAAAAACAAACAGCGCTGTACAGTCAGTTGCATAAGGGATGTGTAGTGAGCGCTGTAAGCTGTCGTCTGAGTTCTTCTTCTTTATTCATCTGTCGCTGACTGTCATCTCTTCTGTTCTCCCACAGGTGTGCATAACCCCAGCCGATCCTCCACACAGGTGAGTGATGCACAGTAACGCCGCGGCTCATTCCTCATGACAGCGTGAGCATCTGTGA